CCGTCTGAAATTTTTCAACCTTATCTGACCAGAAAATACGGATCTCCTGGGGGAAAAAGATTAACGAGAGCCTTATTAAATAGCAATTCGTCAGCTTGCTGTGCTGGTAAGATAGCGCTGGCAGCCAGTCAGCGCGCAGGCACATGAAAAGCAGGAAGGGAAACAAATGCACAATCAGATCGCAACGTTATAGCAAGAGATTCATTTGCAGATAACAAGCTGTCTTCCTTCTCCGGATTTCTCAGTAGCGCCTTCGCTTTCGCAGACAAACAGTCAAATTTTCATTTTCTGGTGGGGAGAATCGTTCCACTTAGCCCGTGCCCCTTATGAATAGAAATTGTTTCCCATTTTCCCCAGCTACCTCTTTTTTGGGGGGTGGGGGATTATTTCGTGGGAGAAACGGGCCTTTTTTCAAAGCAAAGATAATTTTAAACCTCTTGCCCTATTCGCCCGAGTCGAAGCTCATTCACGAAACCTTTTGTTACATGGAAATTTGGACTGGAAAAGAATCAGGGTGCGAATGTTTAGCCCTGTGTCTATTAGAGATTTCACCGGTACCCGCAGGCGACATTAACGAGTAGTCGCTTAGTTCTATAAATAGCTCCTGATCTGGGTTTAATGGACCGTTTCCCTGCCAGTCCCTTCAGTGGCTGGAGCGATGGGCTTTTTCATCATCATTTTAATTTAGCCCGGCAAGCAGAACTGATAAAGTAACGCACCGTTAGGCTTGTTCCGTGTTGCTAGACTACCGGGGTGACAGAGGGACATCGCCGCTTCTCTCAATGAGATCAAATACACTGAAATACCCCACCATTTTGGATTTGAGAAAGGCAAAAGAGAGTGTAGTAGAGGCTTTGTGAGGGGAGTTCAAAACAAGCAGGGCTGCTGTATTTTTGGCTCGGATTCGGTGCTCGGTTTTCCTCTTCTGGCTCTTTTCTGTTTTACACGAAAAAATACACCCTGAATAGTGACGGTAATTCGGAATAATCAGATTCGATTGCGACCACCGGTTTTGCTCGTATGAGCCCTCCGACTTGAATGTAACACCTTCACAAAGGCAGAGAGGGAAGGTTGCCTTTGGTAAATATACAGAACGAAGTATTAAGGTTGCCAAGAATCCTAATTAAACACGCTAAACAAGTTGACGTTTGACTATTACAGATGATATCCCCTCGTCCTTACCTTTCACGAGACATCAACCCGAACCCTAAATATTGCGCAGTCACAAAGCTATAGTAAACCAGGCGCCTCGGAATTGTTCTTTCTGTGTGTATCACACAGAAATCGATTCATTTTGAATTCAAACTTTAAATAAGGGTTGAGCTCAGAGAAAAGGCAGGTCTTGAACAATGAGTCGGTTCTTCCACCTGTGTTGTATATTATGTGTTTGACATTTTCAGTAATTACGTATCAAGAGGTATGTCATTTCTTCTCATACAACTGGCCGATTTAAGGATTAGCTCCTTTCCTTTCTGGTTGAAAGCCACGGCCTGAAAAGAGCCCTGCCGCCGCCA